TGACCTTTGACCCTTCAGACAACACTGCATTATAAACCAGCATGCTTCTGTGATAGACATTACCACATGAGTTCAGGAACACTTTCATAAATTAACTATCAATATCAATTAAACTGTTAGTAAACACCGTCTGTTGCTGCGTCCACAAATGCAAGTTAAGACTAGACCATGCACAGTGGAAGTCATATATCAACATTCAGAAACACTGCTGACTTCTCGGGGCTCGAGCTCATCTGAAATGGACCGATGCATGGTGGAACCATGTATTGTGGTCTGATGAGTCAACCTTTCAGATTGTTTATGGAAATAATGGACGTTGTGTTCTCTGGGCCAAAGAGAAAATGGACCGTGCTGATTGTTACCAGCGTAAAGTCTAAACCAGGGTCTGTCATTGTATATGGGGTATTAGCTGGTAACCTGCACATCTATTAAAGCACCATCAACGCTGAACACATTTGGGAGCAACATATCACTGCTGTTGAAACCTTGCATCTCCATCTTTGTCAGTTTTCAGTTTCTGACATAAAATACTTGTTGCCCTTTACACTGTGCATTAATTTTGGAAAAAATTGTAAAGTTATTGTTTCAGAGATATGATCTTTTTTGGAACATGCTGCAGGCATCTTACATAGTGCAGCTTTAAAGAACTAGTTCTTGTACATTTAGCTGTGAGTTAAGGGCTGGTTGTTCAAATCCTGTGGGAATATTAAACCAGTTTGTGGTCTGCTCTACAGCAATAGCAGTAATCAGGAAGTTAAGGGCTGCACCACTGAGTATCTAACTTTACAGCCTCCAAAAAAACTTTAACCTTTAAATCTTAAGGTTTACATATACAGTATGTTGTAATTAGCATGAACTCACCTGCTGATGTCAGATTAAAAGTAAGCGCAAGAAAAAAGAGAGATTTCATGATTAGGTTCCTGTGCTGTGTTTCTTCCTGCAGACTTCAGCCAAGAAATAGAAAGCAGAACCGTCCAGCTCTTCATACCATGAACAGCAGAATGTGGATTTCCTTTAAACGTTGAGGTTTCCAGCCACACATGATGAGAATCACTTCCTTTTACCCATAATTTAGTTTACAGTGCTGAAGACAGCACAAGGACCAAGGCAAAGACATCAACTCTCAAAACAAAGTTTATCTTTATCAATCTTTGGTCTGATGTTGGTTGGTGACCAGTGTTAGACAGTGGAACTATGTTGGTCTGATGTTGGCTGGTGACCAGTGTTAGACAGTGGAACTATGTTGGTCTGATGTTGGCTGAGACCAGTGTTAGATAGTGGAACTATGTTGGTCTGATGTTGGCTGAGACCAGTGTTAGAGAGTGGAACTATGTTGATCTGATGTTGGCTGAGACCAGTGTTAGATAGTGGAACTATGTTGGTCTGATGTTGGCTGAGACCAGTGTTAGATAGTGGAACTATGTTGGTCTGATGTTGGCTGAGACCAGTGTTAGATAGTGGAACTATGTTGGTCTGATGTTGGCTGAGACCAGTGTTAGAGAGTGGATCTATGTTGGTCTGATGTTGGCTGAGACCAGTGTTAGATAGTGGAACTATGTTGGTCTGATGTTGGCTGAGACCAGTGTTAGAGAGTGGAACTATGTTGGTCTGATGTTGGCTGGGACCAGTGTTAGATAGTGGAACTATGTTGGTCTGATGTTGGCTGAGACCAGTGTTAGAGAGTGGAACTATGTTGGTCTGATGTTGGCTGAGACCAGTGTTAGATAGTGGAACTATGTTGGTCTGATGTTGGCTGAGACCAGTGTTAGAGAGTGGAACTATGTTGGTCTGATGTTGGCTGAGACCAGTGTTAGACAGTGGAACTATGTTGGTCTGATGTTGGCTGGGACCAGTGTTAGACAGTGGAACTATGTTGGTCTGATCTTGGCTGGGACCAGTGTTAGATAGTGAAGCTGTGTTGGTCGTTAACCTTTCCTGAACTGTTTCGCTTTCCGTATTTCCAGTGTTGCTTGCTGTTGATGTCTGTTCAGTGAGTCGTGCCAGAGAGTGTGAGTTGTGAAGGGAAACATGAATCGGATGCAACACCGGCGTGTTTGTGTGGTTCTCTCCTTGCTCCAGGGTCCTATGCTTTCATATTTATGAGCGCAGCACGAGTAGGGCGTCATCAGGGGGCGGTAACATTGTTTGACTGTTGCTGAAAAAATCACAATACCATTATACGAATACCAGTACGTTAGACTTTCCCCCAGTTCTCTGGCACTGAGCAGCCAGACTGCCGTCTCCTCTTTGTTATGGTGTTCAGGCACAGCAGAGGCAGCCAAACCCCCCCTAAATCCAGCCCAGCAGCGCCCCTGACTGTTTCTACCCAGATAGCGCAGAGGAAAAATATCCTCATTGGACAGTTTCCCCTTTTTAACCCTCTTGTTTCCAACCAAAACTTAACAATGAAACTCGAGCATTACTATAATATGTGCAGAATCTGAACGCAATGAGTAAAACCGAATGAAAATAAACTAGAAGTCACAGAATGGTGATTTATTTTTAGAACTTTACATAAATCATTAGACCTTAGAGCTCTGGAGGATCCCCACTGCAGTACAGTGAGCAGTGAGTGGACGCAGTAAAGTGGACAGGGGATGTATCAGTAAACAGTACAGAGATTCGGCTCCTTGGAGGAAAATGAATCACAGCGCAGTGTCCTGAAAAATGGATACGGGTTATATAGAAGACCTAACAGCTGTTATTGGTGATGCGCTACAGAACACAGCTCATGTAGTGCAGACATGCCGTGCAGCTTACAGACAAGCCCAGGAGAAACTGGAGAAGGTCCTGGAAAAAGTGAGATGCCTTGAGACAGAGCAGCAAAGTGAGATCACTCAAAATGTGGAGGAAGAGCAGAACGTGGTCGTGCAACACCGCCTGCTGGCACATGTGGAGGAGCCGACAGCATCGCAGGGAAAGGAGCACAAGGAGGCCGGACGAGGAGCAGAATTCGACCTCCTGACAAACTGCCAGGACCTGGAGAGAGAAAACCGTAAGATGAAAGACAGACTATCCAGGATGGAGTTGGAGATGCCGGAGGAACGTGAGACATGGAGAGCAGAAAATAAGGAGATAATGAGGAGATCAGAGGAATACATGAAGAAAATGTCCAGCAACAGATACATGATGGAGCAGAAGGTGAGGGACCTGGAGGCTGTCCAGGATGGAGAAGCAGACGCAGGAGGAACGAGAGACGTGGAGAGCAGAAAAGGAGGAGATAATGAGGACAGCACAGGACTTCATGGAGGCCATGTGTGGCTACAAGGCCATGATGGAGCAGAAGGTGAGAGATCTGGAGAGAGAAAGAGAAAAGAGAATAGAAAAGAGAGGAGATGAGAAAGAACTGACAGAAATGAAGAAAGAGCAGGAAAAGAAGAAGGATAAGGAGCTGAAAAGCAGATAAAAGAGGAGGAGAAGAGGGTGAGACATTCGGAGCGTGAAAGGGAGAAAGAAAGGAAAGTAGAGGAGAAAGAAAGGAAGGAGTAGGAAAAGAAGGGTAAGGAGCTGCAAAAGCAGATAAAAGAGGAGGAGAATAGGGTAAGGAATTTGGAGTGTGAAAGAGAGAAAGAGAGGAAAGCAGAGAAAAAAGAAGGGAAGAAAGAGGGGAAGAAGGAGCCGCAGGAGGAAAAGAGCTCAGGAAAGAGGAGATTTGGGAGAAGGAAATAAAGAAGGCCCTGAAGGAATGGATGCGAGTGAAGGAGTGAGTGAGTGAGATTTCTCCCTTAAATAAGTCAATAAAAACGTATCTAGAACCACTGAGTTGTGTTTGAGTGGTTTCTGTACTCACACATGTCACCATGAGTGCACTGTGTAATAAATTCACACAACATCTAAAAGCTCTGTTTAAACCAATACATTATCCAGCTGGTAAAAACGGTGAAGGCTAACTTGTTTGTGGGCAGTGTTAGTGTTAGCGATGAGCTTTCAGCTAGCATAGCTGGCTAAGTGTAATAGCCAGATAGGGTCGCCAGCCGTCCTGTAAAATACAAAATCCTACCTTAGTTGGAAACTAAAAGACGTGTTCCGTATTGAACAAGAGAGCTGGCGGGAAGGCCCGAACCCCAAGTGAGACGAAGCCTCACAACGATGGCGGGGATTTGAGATCAACGAGGGATTTGTGGATGGTGCGCGAGTCCCAAGCCCCACCTCCAGGCACTGCCTTCGGTCCTGCAGTGAGGCCACTTCAGTATGCCTCATATTCAATCCCAGTGGCCAAGCCAAGGAGCAGGGGCGGCTCAGGTGCTCATGCTGCCCTTAATGAGAGCCAACTGACGGTGATCTGGCATCGGCTTTCAAGTACAACTAAAAGAACTGATATTGTTCTGTAGTTACAAGCTTGATCAGAAGCTCCGACCTTGGAGTTATTTACTAAAGTTTACTTTGATTTGCCTGCATAATGTATAAAATACATTGATGTATCCTTCATTGATGGTGCTACTATTGAACATTTGCTGCAAGTTCTTCTACTGATTGAATGAAAAAGGTGTTAAGGTGTTCATTGGCAGTTTCCACAGTGCTCATCAATTCATTTATATCTAATGCTGGTATTGATTTCTGGTTGCAAAAATCATGATTAGTAAGCCTATTTATAAGCTTCTACAGTTCTTCGCTGAGCTGTGATCTGATTAACGGTCCAGGTGGACAGAATGGCGTGTATAAACTGCTATATTAAATTCATGGAAACTTATTTCAGTATATGTGACGTCATCCATCAAAGATTAAAAAAATTAATATAAAAAATCAAGACTTCATCCTTTACTATAAACCCAGTGCAGTATTGGTATCATGAATGATCAGAGTGGAAGAAATGATTCATGACTTTATTTACAGACTTTATTTGTATGTCTTTATGTTCCGATAACAAAGGTTAATGTTGCCTTTTCATAACAAAAAACACATGTTTTAAAAATGTGAGACTGACCACAAAAGTGCAAATAAAAAATGCTGATACTGAAAGAAAAGCTTGAACTTGCTGAAATGCTGAATCTTCTTCATCTTCATTGTCCTCCTCTGTACGTCCTCTCTGTAAAGACAAACGTAAAAACAACAGCGGGATTATAAAGTTTACTCTGACACCAATCCAAATTTCTGATGACAACAGACTGTAGGTGATCATACTTAAACTACTATAAATATAAACAAAGGGCACAGACAAGGTGGACATTTTACAACTAAGTCTTTATGAGACCACCTGAGTTTTACTCTGTGTAAAACTGTATCCAGGATATTTCGATAGCCTAAATTCCATGAAGCTGAGGTCAGTTTCTTGTTTGAATTTTCCCGTTCCACCTTAAATGGTGCAGCAGGTCCATTCTGGTGCCTCAGGTCACTGCCCGCTCAGGCACCATTTAAGGTGGAATGGAAAAATACAAACAAGAAGCTGGCGAATTGGAAGCTGACTTCAACCTCTCTAAAACACTGAGTCAGAGAATTCTACCAGTATTAAAAGTGAAGTTCAGATGTGTTGATCACCCTATCAGAAAACACTGCATTCAGACATGAAGTTAGCGCTGCACAGACTATGCTGCCTTTGGGACCCTCATGACCCCAATCTGCCCTTTTGATGGCCTGGATCAGTAATCTACTGCAGTGTAGGGCGTGATATTAAACATTTGATGAAGTTTGCTGCACAACAGCTGCTTGTCATTGTTGATTTCTGCCATAAAGAGCGCCGCTTTCTGTTGCCATCTGTCCTGTAGTTGTGCTCGTGTCTCTGTGATGATGTTGCACAAAACCCATCCATTGATGCCAGTTATAAACTAAATTTGGCTGTTTGAACAGTTGAGGCTGGACGGTGTTAAACCATTTTTTTTCCTTCAATAAATGAAATAATGTAAAAGCTGTACTCCTTGTTTACTTATGTTGTCTTTGTCTTATGTTAAATATTGGTGAAACAGTTTCATGTGACAAACTTGCTAAAGCAGAAGTAATCAGAAGGGTATGAACAATTTTTCACAGTACTGCATGTTTACTGATATCTGCTCTGGTTTCCTTACCACACTCTTTAACCATCATCCACAGCGCAAAGAGCAGAAGAACAGCCGCAAATACAATGAAGATGATTCTAAAGCTTGAGCTTCCGTCTGAAACACAGTGTTAAATCTGGGTCAGTGTCCTGTTTCTACTTCACCAGTCAAAAACAAATAAACTTTTAAAGACTTTTTTCCCTTCAGAATCCGATTCCCACCTTGACGGATTCTGAGATCAGACATCTGCAGCACTATTTCCTTCTCCAGGCTGCTGTGCTGAATGATGCAGCTGTACTGGTTCCTGTTCAGCTCCTCAGGTGAGACAGTCAGAACACTCCTCTTCTGGAAGGTTCCATCCTGGTTGGGTAGCGTCTCTCTGAGCTCCACCTCCTCATGCAGATCCTCTCCATTCTTCTGCCAGGAGATCATCACTGATTTGGGGAAGAAACCTGTAGCATGACACACCACTGGAGAAGAAGAGTCCTTCTGGAACAGGTCCACTTCAGGAGGGACTAGAGAGAGAGAGAGAGAGAGCGAGAGAGAGAAATGAGAAATGACACATACTGTTTATTTACTGAATTTAACATACTGTGAAAAAAATAGGACATAAAATGTTCTTATGGCACATTTCATTTTTTTTTCAATATGTTAACTCAGTGTGTTACTTACTTTCACTTGCATATTTAAAAAAAGTGGAATTTGACTGACTGATGTCCCTGAAAAAGCGGCGCAGTATGGGGACTGGTATAGTACTCACTAAGGACTCTATGGCCCTTTTTTCCACTGCAGGGCCAAACGGTTCTGGAGAGTGACCGTTTCCACATGGATGCCGTCCAACACGGAACACTTAAAACCAGGCTCGCCCAGTTTTTTGGCACGGTTAGCTAACCGTACTCAGGGCCACAGAACCATTTGTTGGGATGATGTCACTACATAGCAGGTTTGATTCTGACTAACAAAAGCTTTACTGACACAAGTTTAGATGATAATGACTCAGCTTTGAGGAAGAGAAGTTGAGCGGCTGATGTTAGAGGGACAGAAAGCTGAAATAACCTCCGGTGTCTGAAGCTGGAGCCTCCTAGCTAAGCTAATGCTAGCCAGCTCTTCTCTCCTAGATAACTTAGCATAGCTGAAGAGATCCAAACACCCCAGTGCAGGTTCAGTTCGACTCACTGCTCTGCTATCACAAGTACAGATGATAAAAACTTACAACAGCGGTTGATGGTGGAGTGACACTAAGCTAAAATCTGCCCTGTTCTGTAGTGCTTTAAGCTGTAGCTTGCCAGGCTAAGCTAAAGCAAGTGTGCAGTACATTCCCACCCCAATACAGGCTCGGTTCTAGCTTGTTAGCAGTTAGCCACTCATTTACATAGTTTTCTTGGGTATTTCATGGTTCTGATTTAGTGTTTCAACAGATGGAAACAGAAACCGGCCTCATGAGTCCGAACCAGCGCAGAACCACCCAGTACAGCCCTGAGAACCATTTGGCTCAATAGTGGAAAAGCAGCCTCTGATGTGGGAGCTATGGGCCAATGCAGAAATCTAATGATCTCTCTAAATATGAGGAATGAGGATCCTTTGGTGAAGTAACCCAGCGTCACTTAAACACTGTTCTCTTCTGGAGTTCAGCTGCTTATCCAACCTGAATTTTAATAGAGTAATTACTGCAAATTGCAACCTAACAGACACTAAACTAACATGATAATGTTTTATTACCCTGTACAGAAATCAGAGGCTCTGCTGTATTACACTGACTGAATGTAAAGAGAGGCATCAGTGAGATGTTTGTCCTCCACATTCTGATGAGTTATCAGTGAGTAAATGATCAGCAGGTTTTCAGTGATGAGGGTAAGTGTACTTTACCTTTCCTCTCCAGAGTGGATCTGCCGTAACCCACATACTTCAGTAACCACTCAATACAGGTGTTCTCCAGGTAGGCCCTCTGTTTAGCTGCTTCACGCAGACCCTCCCACTTCTGTTTGGTAATAACAGCTCTAACGTTGGCTGCAGTCCAGGTTTCAGTGTTCAGATCCAGACTGATGAAGTCTTCTCCATCATAACTGAACTGCATGTATCCTCTCTTGGTTCCATCATCATGCAGTTCACAGCCGTACATCCACTGCACTGTGTGAACTCCTGTACAGACACACAGGAATGTAATGCTGGAGCATAATAAAACAAATTAAAGCATGTGATCTATTGAAACAGTGAACCTCATTCATCTGCATAATAAACTGATGCAAAATAATATGAACAGATGGAGTTTTCTGCTAATTCCTTGCCTCAAGGCACATTCAGTGTCAGTCACTGCAATCACTATAGTGCTGTGAAAGTACCTCCCATGAAAATCTGTGTATTTTGTCTTTTGATCTGATCGTCTGATTTCTGAATGCTGTTGTTGCGTTTATTTGGTATGTAAATGCACATAAACAAACTGCCATTATTTAAAACACATAAATAGGAATATACTTGATGCTTAAGTGGCCTTTTATAGTTCGTCTGGTTAAAGCAATCAATAAAAAGCACTGTATGATCAAACTTTTGTTATAAATGTACACACACAGCGAATTTAAAGGTAATAATACAAGGTTAGCCACATCTCGCTGGAAATTCATGGCTCCATCTATAATGACAGTGTGAAATAAACCACAACACTTCCTCCACCATGCTTCACAGCAGGCTAGAAGTTCTTTTGGTCAAAGGGCAGTTTTGGTTTTCAGCAAACAGCTTAACCTTTGTCTTCTTTCTTCAGAGCACACATCGCACCAATAGTCCTTATCTTCAGGGGTTTTGTCTGACACCACTGTCATGCATCTACATCCTTTTTTGAGAGCAGAGGCCTCTTCATTCTTCCCCCAGGGGCTGTAATACAGAAACATCCTAACTCTGAAATCTTACCTGTTTAGTCAGTATGACCTGAAGGTAATAACCTCAGTGGTGTCCTAACGTCTTCTGTTTCTATCATTTTTAGACAGCTGTGACAGGTAGCATAACATGTTCACTATAACTAGCATGAAGATGTTACAACTCAGAAATCCCTGTGGACACGATCTCCAACCTCCCTCCTCATTACCTTCATGTGTTAATGTTGCAGTGACAAATATTGCAGTGATGGTGGTAAATAATAAGGCAACTGAATTGAATGTGTTGCTGTTTAAAATGCAGCAGGGGGCGCTCACCATGACCATGACTGGCCACGATCAAGTAGTTTATTTCCTAACTGGAGATAAGAATTTGTAAGGTAAGATCTGTTTTCTAAATTAAAACAGGATTTGCTTTTGAAATACGAAATTTTGAAAAAATAAAGATCTGAAATTAGGATCAAAGATTAGAAGTCTCTGTAACATGTTCTTAAAAATGTGATTGTGTCATGTGACTATTGTGTTTATTTTTTATGAAAACATTTATTGTTATTACCTGCAGTCTGGTTGACGCGCTGCATTGCTGTAGCCACGTTAACTTTGAAGGTCTCCTGATGACTCTGACTAATCTGAGTCTCACTGTTCCAGTAATCTGGATCATCAGCATCACTCTTCTCCATCCACTCTGTTTTGGGGATCATCTTCCTGATGTTACTGTCATAGTACACAAACTGCTCTCCATCCACCAGACCAACCACAGAGAACTCTGGGAAGTTTATTCCTGGAGTTACTGCAGTGTAGAAGTACTGCAGAGAGTGGGACGCTGTCAGGATAAAAATGAACAAAGTGACTGAAATTTTTCTAAAGGAAAAAAAATTTGAGACAATCAGAATATTCATGAAATAAAACTGAAATGTTGAAAGTATTCAGATTCATAATAATAGTTTATATTGATCATTCATGCCATGATTGTTAAAGAAGAATTCTTATTCTAAAACCTGTTACTTCAGACTGTCACTATTTTCCATCATCAGCATTCCATATAAACTCAGAAGACTCGTGTAGGTTCACTGGTGGTTTTGATAGTAGATAAAATGCCTATATTTGTGTTGTAGTCATGGCGATGCCTGGTTCCTGTCACCACCACTGTAAAGACATCTGAGTCTCTACAATCAACCACTTCACACCAAACAACTCTGAATGACTTTGTTTACATCTCAACTATGAAACTTGCAGACATTTTGGTGGATTTCCCCTTTGTAAATGTAAATGTAAATGTGCTCTGTAAATGTTTGAAAATCATCTGAAAGAGGCGATGCAATCATGCTTGGGTATAAAAGGAGCATCCAGGAAAGGTTCTTTATAAGTGAGGATGTTTAAGACTACCAAAAAAGGCATCAGCGAATAACACAGCTGTTAAAAATACTGTTCCTCACTGAGCAATTGACCAAGATTTTAGTCATTTCATCTTCTACAGTGCGTAATATCACCATAAGATATGGAATCCACAAAAATCTCAGTGCATGAAGGAAAAGGCCAAAAACCACAACTGAATGATTGTGACCTTTGACCCATTAGACAGCACTGCATTAAAAACCAGCATGCTTGATGGATATCACCACATTTAGTCAATAAAGAGCCCATCACTGCTTCCACAAAACTTAAGACTGTACTGTGCACAGATGAAGTAATACATCAACAATTTCCAGAAACGTCGCCGAATTCTCTGGGCTTGAGCTCCTCTGAAATGGACTGATGAACAGTGATAATATGTCTTGTGGTCTGACGAGTCAGCCTTTCAGATTATAGAAATAATCAACATTGAGTTCTGAGAGCTAAAAAAGAAAGGAGCATCCAGACATAAGGTGAAACATCAAGTATTGCATTTCAGTTTTTCGGATTTGGAGACCTCTCTGGTGAAAATGTGTAACTGCAAGCAGTGGGGGTTGAGCTTTGGCCCCCTTCCCCGAGGGGATGAATCTGAGTATTGAAAGAGAATTTAAAGAGAACTCAGTCTAAACTCTGTGAAGGAGCGTCTTCTGAGGATGTGAGTGAAATGTCTACTGTTGTCATCATATCTTCATCGGTATAAAGTTGATTTTGAGATTTGAGGCCTAAACATCGAGCTGGACCTTCTTTTTGAGGCTGTGTGTGTGAGGGTACTATGTAAAACCAAACAACATGGTGTGAAAAACTTGACACCTCTGACTTTTAAATGATTATTTCAGGCTTTACAGGGCGACTCGCAGCAGCGCACACTCACCACATTTTAGCCTGTTTATATTCTCCTCGCTCAGTAATGATACTTCTTTCAGTTTTCATGAAAAACTTACAAAATCTTACATAGTGCAGCTTTAGAAGAATAGTTCTTGTACATTTAGTTGCAAGTTAAGGGCTGTTTGTTCAAATGAAGTGGCAACATTAAAGCGATTTGTGGTCCGCTTTAAGCATTAGCAGTAAACAGGAAGTTAAGGGCTACACCACTGAAAATGGAGTGGCTGCAAACTGCTAAAAAATAAGACAATTCTAGCACAAAAATATATATTTACTCTATTAAATATGACAATAAGCCAGACACAAACTGAGCAAACATTTCAGACTCCTGCTATCACCAGTGCTGGCCTCTGAAACATCCTTTAACCTGTAAGCCTTTAGGTTTACGTATACAGCATGTTGTAATTAATATTAACTCACCTGCTGATGTCAGATTAATAGTAAGTGCAAGAAAAAGGAGAGATTTCATGATTCGGTTCCTGCGCTGTGAATCGTCACGCAAAGAAAGAGATAGCAGAACTGTCCGGCTCTTCACCCCGCAAATAGCACAAGGTGAGATCTTCAGCCGCGCAATGAGAAACACTTCCTTTTACCCACGAGCATAACTTTGTTTACGCAACGCTGGGGACAGGACCAAGTGAAAGAATCGATAGCACTTTACTTTGTATTTTGGCAGTAAGTGGGTAATAATAGTCTAATATTGTGTTAACAAGTCATAATTACCTAAAAATTACATGCTAATATTCTAGTTGCTAATAAATAATAAGTTAAAAGTTCATAGTATTATTGCAGTTATAATTTCAATGCAGTTTAACCACATTGTTCTGAGGAACTGATGTAATCACCTAATCTCAAGTGGTTTCATAGAGTGGGCAGAGATTGGCCTGTTTAATCCTGCACAGCAGTCTAATTCGGGGGGCTGGTTGACACAACAAGGATTGCTCTGCAGTGTGCAATACTTTTAGCATTGCTTACTAATGTAGCAGTTATCATGACTCAGGTGCTAAAAGATGGACCACAGTGGCAAAAAGCAAAAAATAAAATGAAACGAGGTATAAGGAACTTAGCATTAGTTTACAGTATATTAACTGTAATAATTGTCACATTTAACATTAAATTAAGACAGAAGTTTTCATTCTGTCAGCCTCTCATTTTGACAGGAGGAAATGAAGGTGAAAAGCTGTCAGCTAACCAAACCTTGGAAACTAGCCTTTCTCTGCTAAGTTAGCTGTTAGCTAGTACAAAGCTAAAGTAACCTTGCCACATAATGTTGACATAACCATGCGATAAGCATGTCATGGCAGATGTCATGACTTTTGTCCAGTAATATAACAGTGTCATGTTACCATTACTGGATAATTTCAATGATAGATGTCATAATATTTGGAAACTGACTTCAGCCTCATCTAAAACACGGAGTCAGAAAATCCTAGGAGTATTAAAACTAAAGTTCAGATGTGTTGATAGCCAATCACCCTGTCAAAAAACACTGCATTCGGATATGAAGGGAGTGCTGCACAGCTGCCTTTGGGACCTTCGGGACCCCAGTCCACCCTTTTGATAGCGTGGATCCGTAATCTTTCTGCATTTGGTGAAGTTTACTGCACAACAACTCCTTGTCGTTGTTGATTTATGCTGAAAGAAATGCAGCTTGACCCCAATTATTAACTAAATTTGGCTAAATTGATGATTGAGTAAGAAGAACAGCTGCAACTGCAAGGAAGATTTTTCCAAATAAGCTTCCGCCTGAAACACAGTGTTAAATCTGGGTCAGCGTCCTGTTTCTACTTCACCAATCAAATCATTCTAAAAACGAGAGCAGATTTTTCCCATTTAGAATCGCTTTACTTTGACTTTGAAGGACTCTGCGTTTAGACACCCGTATCCACGTCTCCAGGCTGCTGTGATAAACGGTGCAGGTGTACTTATTCCAGTCCACCTCCTCAGGTGAGACAGTCAGAACGCTCCTCTTCTGGAAGGTTCCATTCTGGTTGGGTACCATCTCTCTGAGCTCCACGTCCTCATACAGCTACGCTCCATTCTTATGCCAGGAGATCATCACTGCTTTGGGGAAGAAACCTGTAGCAAGACACACCACTGGAGAGTAAAAGTCCTTCTGGAAGAGGTGCACTTCAGGACGGACTGGAGAGAGAGAGAGAGAGAGAGAGAGAGAGAGAGAGAGAGAGAGAGAGAGAGATTTAATAATAATTGTAATATTCTGACAAAAAAGGCAGTGGAAGCTTTTACATTTAACTGAAATACTCAGCATGTTGGTATAAATACTGTATATTTACACTGATTACATTGAGGCTGCATGCAAACCATTAATTCACCAGGACTACCATAGCAACTGCCGAGACATACCCTAGCAACCACCAGAGATATAATAGCAACCACAAAGCAACACCATTTCAACCACTTGGGATACCATACCAACCACCTAACAACTGCCAAGCAGCCATCAGAGATACCATTGCAACTGCTTAGCAACATCTTAGCAATCACCTGGAATGTCATAACAACCGCCAAGCAACACCCTAGCAACCACCTGGGACAGCTTATCAGCTACCTAGCAACACCCTAGCAACCATCTAGGAGACCATTGCAACCACCATGCAACACTGTAGCCACACCCAGAAACACCACAGCAACTACCTAGCAACACCCTTGCAACCATCAGAGGCACAATAGCAACTAGTTAGCAATCTCCCAGCAATACCTTAGCAATCACTTTGTATGCCATAGCAACCACCTAGCAACAGCTAAGCAACCACCAGATACACACGCTATCAATCACCTAAGAACAACCTAGCAATACCATGAAATTGCTTAAGCTGTGCCATCACTCTGCATTTTCTACAGGAAATGCACTTCTGTAGTTTCACTAAAGTGATCAGTGGTGTAGCGTCTGGGTGTGCAGGGTATGTGCTTGTATACGGGCCTGTGTTCAGGGGGCCTTTCTACCAAAGATGAAAGCTTTCAGTATTGTTTACCTGATGGGGACAGTTTTGGTGGTCTACCAGATGTTGCAGGTGGTTTTCGAAGCCCCATTTGTCTGTAGCTTTAGTAGCTTTTACTGTTTTGACTTTCTTCTTCCTTGTATAAGTGAATTATTTTATATCTAATCTCCTCAGAAATATCTTCTAAATAATGAATAACTTGTACTTAAAGGCTATTTTGACTGGAAATTTAATAACTGAAGGGTGGCCTCTGACTTTTCCATAGTTCTGTATAGCTCTGTGCCCATAAATAAGCAATTCACAAAAACAAAAAAAGACATAAGGTGGTACATTATTCTGCACATATCAGGCATGATGTGCATAAATGCATAAATGCAGCATTTAAAAGTATATTGCAGCCAACTGAATTAGCCAAATAGTATAATGACCCTGTTACATACATTATTAAATTATTATTATAACACTGAAGCAGTTCAGAGCCACATTTACAATTATTTGGTCCAGGGGGTAAAAAAAATTGAAACAGGACGTCTCTAATAATCAATGAATGTGCAGCAGGTTTTCAGTGATGAGGGTGAGATCACTGTACCTTTCCTCTCCAGAGCGGATCTGCCGTAACCCACATACTTCTGTAACCACTCAGTGCAGGTGTTCTTCAGGTAGTTCTTCACTTGAGCAGCCCAGTTTTCACCCTCCCACTTCTGTTTGGTAATAACAGCTTTAGCGTTGGCTGCAGTCCAGGTGAGAGTGAATATATCCAGACTGATGAAATCTTCTCCATCATAACCGAACTGCATGTATGAACCTCTCTTGGTTCCATGATAATTCAGTTCACAGCCGTACATCCACTGCACTGTGTGAACTCCTGCAGAGACACACACACTTCATTCATATTGATGCACAATACAGGAAAGAAACCCTGACTAACCCTGACCATCTCAAACAGGGGTCATTTCTGGATTAAAGTACAGCAGACAAGACGGAAAACAGATCAGATAACATGACGAGATGATTTGCCTTTTGAACTGAATGCAGTGCTTTGGGTAGAATGAACTTTTCAGAGAGTAACCTTTACTTCACACATTAAACCATTAAATTCACATTAACAGTGAACTAACAGTAACAGTGGAGGGCATGAAAGGTAAGAGCTGACATGTTGACACTTCAATGGATTTTATTACATATTTTGTTGCACAGTTAGGCCTTCCTATAAGAGGGGGAAAGGAGAAAGGTTTCAGGGTTCCTGCCACTAGGGGGCTCTCCAAGAGTCTCAGTGAAGTGTGAGTGCACCCCTGGTCAAATTTCATGTTGATTTTCTTGTTGATTTTTTAAGTGTAAATGAGTTAACACATCCTCATCCTTCAGGGAAAATACAACAACAAATGTGCCGTTATTTTTTAATTATGTTTTAATTTAAAAGCTTTTTATGTTTTTTTTTATTTAAACATTTTATATTTTATTTTTCTTTATGCTAAATTCAGTAACTGAACCTTAATTGCGTATTAGAATGTTCATAAGTGTGTCTCTGTAGAGGATGTTTAGCTTATTTTCACCTAGAAAATCAAAATCAACCCACCCAGGGGTGTCCAAACTATCATTACTGTAAATGGGCCTGTCATTGCCAATATAAACAAAATGTATTGTAATATTCAACTCTGTGTCTAGATGAATAAATGTGCACTGCTGGCACAAAATATATTCATGCTGTGTGTTTATTTGTCAAAATACACTCATATTTAGGTAAATTGGGAAATTTGTTAACTGAAATAAAAGAAAAACTGTAAATACGACCCTCAGTTTGATGCATTATGAGAGAGCAATGTTTAAAAAATGCTTGATTCTTTTCTTCTTGAAGCTTTTCTTTTATAAAATGGACCTGATTATTATTTTTTTTCATGAGTTAGATGGTCATTTTGGGTTATGTTGCCTTCTTCAGTGGAAAGAAGTGTGTCATATAAAAACAGAAAATTTTAATCTAAATATGGCGAAACTACACTATTTGATCTTTAAATACCAAAACTATTTATTTCAACATCTATTTAATTTTTTCCAAAGAAACCATGTTAAAATGATGTAACTGTGTGAAGTAATGTTTTGATTTCTTGCACACTAAAGAATCACTGACAACCACAAATAACAGAAGTGTACTAGAATAAAAGAACTGTACTAAACATAAAAAGAATCAAGTCATTTTCAAATATTTAGCCTTTTCTAAATATGATCTACTGACAAGAGTAGCAAAAAATATTGTTGCTGAATTAAAGAATTGACTAGAACAGGCGTCTAACCACTAGTACTGCACACACATTAAATACTGAGAGTATATTTCCGAGATAAACAAGAACACAAAAATAATTCTAAATAATTAAAGGAACATGAAAAGCTAAACAATAACTGCAGTGTTCCCTCAGCTGCATCACTTGATACTAACTATATCCATTCCACTGTTGTACAATGTTGCTTGTAGGCAACAAACATATTCAAATAATTTCTCAAAACACAAAAATCATTTTTATGATACTGATGTTGAACATTGTGCAGTTAAGCGTTATTCATTTTCTATATACAAACTGTATGTTGAAGTGAACATTATCCTTTTTTATGTATTAGATGTGTTTAAA